CCCAGCACACACCAGGCTCTGCAGAGCTTCAGGGTGGAGCCTTTCCTGCGACTACTTTAAACGTTCCTGGACAAGAATTTGGAAAAGATTCCCCTGGGCATGACAGAATATAAAAGCTTGGAAACACTTTCTGGAACATCTCACATAACCCCAAAATGTTTGCAATTAAATCCCACCAAGCAAAACAAAATCATATTCAGCTTTTTCTAATGTTTAAACTGAGGCAAGAACTGATTTCAGACTGGAACAGCCCAGTATAGGACAAGGACATAAATCCACTAGATGAAAGACCCTCCAACTCCAAGGCACAGTGGGGCTGGGTTGCGCTCTGCCTAACAGCCCAGGCACACCAGGAGCTGAGAGAGGAGCTGGGCAGCTTCCCCTAACTGTTGCCTCTCTGAAGCAGTAGTTTTAATCTCTAGTCTGAATTTCTGCCTTTATTCATCAGGTCTAATCCATGATATCTTTACACCTGATAGGCTCATTTCACATTTATTTCCAACTCTGACCATAGGCAGAGGACCCTTTATTCATAATGAATCTGCCTCTGCTTAGAAGCAGGCCTAAAGTCCATGTATAACAGAAAAATTGAAAGATGTAGGTACCTCAAATCCACTGACTAGACCCTGAGAAGGACTCAGGGAAGGAAGGAAGGAAGGAAAGCACTTGAAAACTCAAGAGCTCTGACTTCCATCCCTCTCTCCCCTATGGAATTAGGGCAAGCAACCGCTGCAGGACTGGCCAAGTTTCCTCTCTGCGTCTCAGCTCCTCACCGGTAAAAACACTTTCTTCCACTTTGCCATGTTCAGATCACAACCTCTCTGGCAGGAGCTCTCTCTTCTCACTCATTTGTACAGTGCACAGTAGAACGATGAATTTGGTGCCTCTAAACATAGCATAACACACACCTAATCTTGGCAAGGTGACAAATTCAGATTCTTGGGGAGGTGTCAGCCCCTCTGCTTGTAGGGGACAAACCTCAGCCTCTCCGGCGCTGAGGTTAACTCAGGGCTGTGCTGGCTTCAGCAGTTAGGGATCCGTTCCCCATGCCTTTTAGCTCCTTCCTAAGTTGCAGCTCACCATCCCTTTCATTATTTTAAGAAACTGCTAGTGGGACCATGTGGGAAAGCTGCAAAATTATGAGCTACACTAAAAATAACCTTTTGTCCCACAAAGTGATCTTGGCAGAAGAGAGACAGTGCGTTGGGAACCAAGTTTGGGACACAGGGCCAAGAGTGGTATTTCTTAAGCCATCTCTGCTGCTTAAGCCAATGTATAACATCAGCTTGCATCTTTATCCAGCCCTCCATTTAAAGGCCAACCAGAGCTCAGGCAAGGAGCATTTACCATCTCATTGCAACGGATCTATCAGAATGTGGCTGCTCAAAACGAACCAAGGGACAAGCCACCTCATAGAGATGTTGAGGGCAGCTGGATTTTAGTAGAGCCTTGGATGACAATGTAAGCTGCTCTAATATCAACTGCAGCAAGGCTGGAAAAGATGGCACAATTTTTTTTACCATCTTTCATATTCAAGTTTTCCCACTGCACAAGGCACAGAATTAACTGTTACAAGAGTGGCCCAGTAGTAATCTATAAGGGTAACTTCATATATAGATTTCCTAAAGCCTTGGCCCTTGGAACCCCTTATAATATGAACGGGAATAAAGATTATCTGATGCTCTTTTCCAGAAGATTCACTTATTGACTAGAACAACCATTACAGATAGCAACACTTGGACCCAGTATCCAGTCCCACCTCCGTATCTCAACAAAGGGCCCTTTGGAGTACACAAGTGCAGGATTCTGTCAGCAATTTACCCGATAGCCAAGGTCAGATGTAACAGTGCAGTAACAGGCTGCCGTACTGCATCAAACCAACATATGAATTAAGGAGGAGCACACTCCTAATCAACAGCAGCACATACTTGCACATTATTTACAAATACATTAAAAATGAATAGCTGAAAATAGACAAAATTAAGCAGCGACTGCAGGGATGGAAGATGGCTATTATGGGTGAAAGGAGAGAGAAACCCTGATCTGACCAGCGGGCTGCAGGAGGACAGGGTCCTTGAGACACAAGGATAGAGCCAGCTCTCTGGGCATGGGAGGCTGGACAACAACGCAGTGACAGGTGAGGCCAAGCTCCACAGGCAAAGAGCACCTGTGCGGCAGAGTCCTGGTGGGGAATGTGATCAGAGGAGTAGGAGACACCTGACTTGTTCCATTTGGACAGGTGGGAAGTAAAGTGCTCGTCCAGTCTCTTATGAAAATGATCTCTAATATCATGAGAGATATAAGTCTCCCAGGTCTGGGACTGGAGACCAACAGGATTATTTTCAAGTTCCACTGAATTAGCAGCACACCAAATCTTTGTTCACCTGAAGTGTCTGCTGTCTCGAGGATATAAGTCATTGTTCAGCGATTCTCTACCCTACATAAAGGTATTCACACTATACCAGGCAAGCATGTTTTTTAATCACGCAGATGTAATTAAGCACATTGAACATGACATGAAATATTAATATCAGTAATTCACCAGCTACTGCAAAGTACTGAGATTAGCATCTTTGATGGCCTCTTTTCCTAGGTTCTGCTTGTTTATTGGAAACTATAATAATAAATCAGTCACAGTATAGAAAACAACTCTGCTTTAGTTACCTTCATTATCAAACCTCCAGTGACCACCTCAGTCTAACCAAAAAACTAATTCATATGGCAAATACTCTACCCTGGTACAGTTTTGCGTTATATGTACCTCAGTGCAATTACTCTGAAGTTCTGTTTTTCCACGCATGTATCTAGTACACAGTCATACAAACAAACTAATAGCACAGGTTAGCACAAGGTGGAAATTACAGCACAATGACAAACACTGTATTATAAATTAGAAGTCTCCTGGATTGCTCTTCTGCAGCAGATGAGTAGCCCCTTGCTAGAAATATGGCAATAATGTTATCACTAAGCTGCCAATGACAGCGTAGAGAACTACTTCTGCGTTTTTGGCCACCGTATTCCTTTGTTTTCGCTCTGCTCAGCCTGCGTTCCCCTGGCTGGCGCTCTGCTGGGGACACTGCTGTGTGCACCATAATCCCTTTTCTGTTTTAGTGCCACTTCTTCAGTGCTCTATTTCCAGATACCGTTTTGGCAGAGCAAAGCCAGATCCCAAAAGCCAGCATCTCCCCTGCCTGTGCCCCAATTGCATAAAATATCTTTTCAAAAACCTTCTTGCCTGCAGCACAAAAAACAGCGTAAAGCAGGTATAATAACGGAAGGTTTGTTAACTTATTTGACAAAAAGCAGGAAGAGCATAAAATAAAGAACTATATTTTCTCTTGGGAAGTTATTCCTGAAGATGTACATGAAACCTCGGTAAAGCAAGACCGAGAGCAGCCGTCAGAGGAAGGCTGTGGCCATATTGAGAGATCAGACTGAAAGATGGCAGAATCTCTAAAATTAACATCAGCCACACCTCCATTTGACAGCTCTATCGTTACGGGGCTGAGAATAACTCCACTAGGACAGCATTGTCTCTGTAAGATGGCAACTCGTCCCAAGTAAAATGCTCACATGGTCAACGGTATTTATTCTATTGTGTTTCCTCCACCCAAAGTATTTTGGGAAAACGAGTATCCCACTTGATGGATAAAGAATTGTAGGAAAACAGGCTGTAGCCAAGGTCACACAGTGACCCATGGCTGAGGCCAGCCTGCTGTTTGATGGCTCACCCGCTCAGGTCCATTGTGTTTTATTAAAGGTCCAGTGGTTTCTCAATAGTGTCACCGAAGGAGCCAGGTCATCTGCATGGAAGACCATAACAAGGACCTGGGAAAAGCAACTCCCCTTTCCAACAAAGCAACCAGAATATTCCAGTCCCAAACAAAGGATCGAGCATTCAGATTGCAGCAGGAAGGGGAAAAGCAGGGGGCCCCCACACACTCCGGTGCACAGGTCTCAGCATGCCCTCCATGCACAACACCCCAGCGCACACCCCCAGCACCAGCCCCCCAGGAACGCCAGCACCCCTCTGCAGTCGACCCTCCTGACACATCTCCTCCACACACCCGGCATGAAAATCAATTTCTCCAAGGGCCCCCCCCCCCCAAATAAACCTCTCCATGCACACGCTGTGTTAATGAATTCCCCCTCCAAACACACTATACGAACGCCCAGCACTCCCAACACACACACTTCCCCATACACACATGCTGCACAAACCAACACCCCCTTTCACACCTCCACGCGCACGCACACGCTGCACCAACACCCACACCCCTCTACGCACATTGCACAAACCCCTCCATGCCCTTCCACACCCCCTACACACACTGCACAAACCCCAACACCCCCTTCCACACCTCCTCCACACACCCTGCATAAACCCCCAGCACCCGCATACACATACACCCTGCATGAACCTCCAACACACCCCCCACATCACATTAAATCCCCTACACACCCCCTCACACACACTGCACCCACCCAACACCCCAAACACACTGCATGAACCCCATGCACAACCACACGCGGCATGAACCCTGACAAACCCCCTCGACACACTGCACGAACCACCCCGCACCCCCCCACACACACACTCACACTGCACACGAACCCCCCAAGACCCTTTTCCACTTGTGGGTGGAAGCCCCCATTTCTCTTCAGTGTCCCCCCCCCACACACACACACACAGCTGGGACCCCGTGCCGTGACGGACAGGGGGACGCCCCCGGGGACAGCCATAGAGCCACGTCCGCCCCAGAGCAGGACACACCCCTCCAGCTCCACACCCGCACCAGAGCCAGGGCTGCACCGCCAGGGGACAGCCCCCGCACCGCCACCCTCTGGGCATCTCTCCAGGCAGGGTCAGCCCGGAGGCACAGAAGTGTCCCCCAAGCCCCTAGGAAAGGTGACCTCAGAGGCAGCCTCGAGTGGTGCAGCCCCCTTCCCACCCCGCCTCCTCACTGCGCCAGGCAGCCACGCTCACCACCGCTCATTACCTTCCTCCAGTTCGTCCATGCTCCCGATCTTGCGCGAGCCATCGATGGTGTATATGTACCGCACTCCCTGAGGCAGGTTAATGTTGTCGGACAGGGACCGGGTCAGGTCAGCCAGGAGAGCATCGAAACTCCGGAAGCGGTCGGAGGACACGGCGTATACTATCCCCTTGAAGTAGCGGTCCCCGTTGCGATAGAAACGCACCTTCTTGGCTTTCTTCTCGTTGCTCAGCGCCTGCAAGGTGCGGGTCCTGTAGAAGCTGCAGTGGGCGCTGTGAGTGGGGCTGGGCAAGCCGTTCATGCGGGAGCCTCGCATGTTTCTGGACGCCTTGTCTCTTTCGTCAAAGTGTCCAAAATCAAGTTCCATAGTTCGGTGAGCCCTAAAGATCTGAAGCTGAGCAGGAAGGAGACGGGGAAGGAGCGCAAAGGGCGCACGTTAGGGCCGAGTAAAACAACGGTCCGGAGAGAAAAATTACCCTAACGCAAGAGCTGCGTCTGGAGCGGGACACAGATGTGTTTGGGAAGTGCCCCCTCCCTCCCCGACCCAGATTTGTGTCGATTCTGGGGGCCGAGGGAAGGAGGGTCCTCACGTTTTGAAAGGGATCCAACTACTGGGGGCAGGGAACGCGTTTTGAGTGAGCAGTCTGCTCCCGCACCTGGGAGTTCTCAAAGTGCAGTAAATTGGGACTTGGGGCCAAGGGAATACACGATGACTACAACTCAGCCCAAAAAAACTTATCCAAACATCAGCTGGTAATGAATTAAACCTCTAAGCCCCGTGAGGTTTCCTTTGGCAACCGAACACAAGGAGATCCCAGTGAGTCAGCCCTTCAATCTGGCGAATCACGGAAGGAACCAGAGCATCTGAATATTTAACATTAGAATAAACTGGCATTTATGAAAGAACGGTCACAGGGGAATAAGCCGTTTCTTTGTGACAGCCTGTTCAATAAGGGTTAGCAATGAGAGCCAGCCCACCCTTCCCCCTCTCCGCAGCCCCCTCCTCGCCCATCAATCAATTCCCAGGACCAGCCTACATCTCCAAGAAATGACTGCAAAGAAAAAACTGTCATTGAAAGGAGGCTTCGATAAGCTCTCTTCAATCCGAGTCTCTTCGGAATTGCATTTCTGCTCCCATTTAATGGGGAGGAGAAAACAGAGGGGCTATTCCCCTCCTTCCTCCCCCCTCCACCCCCCAAGGCGGATGTGCCTGGGGAGTGTCGGCCAGCCCTGGTGGCACCTTTCATTGTTTCCAGCACCGGGAAAGCTGAGGCTTGGGCTGACACCCAGTCAGCGGGAATTTTTGCCTAGCATATCATTTTTGCTCAAGACCAACCTTCCTCGCTCACCTAATGCCAACACAAAAGGGGAGACTACCCCGGTGCCGGGGGGATCACCTGGCACTGCCCCGGCACAGCCAGCAACATGCCACTTGCATCTGCTGGGTCGTACCAGGCAGAAGCACGATTTATACCCAGCACTTAGCAGCTAGGTATAAATCTAGGAAAAGCTGTTGCTATCTCTTCCCCACCCCTCACATTTGCCAGAACAGGGCTTCCTCACAATGTCACTGTGAATTGTGAGAGATGAAAATCATTGTCCTCAGGCTGCAGTAAAGCCAAAGGTGACAATGCAGGAGACCTGCCCAGAAACCCCAAGTCGGGAGCATCCCCCCATGGTGCCAGCTGTGGGGAAATCAGCCTGGTGCCATGCACTGAACAATGAAACAGCCAAACAACTTCAGGAATTAATTGGAGGATGCAGGCATTTTGTTTTAAAAATGAACTGCCAGATGCTGTAGAGTCCTACGAGAAAGATTCCTCCCTTCCGACATCCGTTACTTTTCTGCATGCAAGTCACTCTAAAAAAGCTCTACTCACCGGTTTGCAGCGCACAGGGTGGAGATGCTGAGAGAAAGAAAACCAGGCTCACTCTGCCTTTGTTGTCTGAGCTCCAAGCAAGAAATTCCTGCCAGGGTGGATGAGACTCCTCCTAGGTCCTAGTGCCTTGTTCGAGCCCTTCATGGTAACTTTGCCTCAGTTGTTTTTAACTCTCATCAGTCATCTGCTTGTAGTCTTCCCATCTGTATTTTGCAAAGAAAAGATGTTCATTCCAGCTCTGGGTATGTTAAAACAAAAAGTTTAAAGAGGTAAATCTTGGTGTCACGTTCTGAGGGAGCAGGTTTCCTCTTGGCTCTAGCTTCACCAAGAAAGCCTCTGGCCCCACTGAAAAAAGAGCGTAATTAGTCTGCTGCACCAATATTACAGGATTACCACTACAGTGAGGTCACAGCTACAACCCTGCAACACGCTGCAATGCTGAGCCATGACTCCAGTGTGTTGGGAAAGCAACTAAGAGAGTAAGAGTTCACAAGTGGCACTGGACCCAGTGCCGTATTGCTCCTGTACTGGCTTTACACAGCATTCGTGGTTTATACTGGCAAGCAGAAAAGGAGAATTAACTTGGTAGTTCTGCATGCTGGTGCCCCCGAATAATTTCTCTCTGTTAACATTGGACATAGGCCAAAAGTAGAACTCTGAATCTCAGTTCATTCAAGTCTCTAAGGGATTCAGGCTAGAGCCATTTGATATAAGTTTGTTTTCTGATCCCACAGCAGGAGGACTCAGCTGTTAGGAAACTGCACTAGGCTCTTTCCTTGAAACAGTGAAATCCTTCACCTGCTTTGTGGATGGATATTTCCATTCTGCAGGTAGGAGAGCAGCACCCCACTCCTATCCCCATTGCTGCTGGTCCATCTTTATTCTAGGTAAGAACAGATCATGGGCATGGGAGGCTCTTCTCATCTGCAGAAGGGAATCTTTCTGAACAATGCTGCGTCTGTTTTGAATGAGAAGCATCAGATTTTGTCATTTTGGCACATTATGGCATATCACATCGACACAGAAATATTTAGTGTTTATTCCAGCTTTGTCAGCCTTGTACATGATAGCCCAGGCAATGCTGACACAAACCCACTGAAAACTCTTCCTTGTTTCCCGGCAACTTTCACACGTTACATTTGTAAAAATGTTCTTATTCCCTGAAGACCATCCTCTCATTTACAGAGGGCTCTCCTGCATCCTCCACTAAAGCCATCAGCCACTCCGTTACATGCTTAGTGGGATCACTGGTGAGGAGACTGCAGTTCTCCTCTCCCTCTTCAGAGATTAGCGCTCAAGGGGGCCACAGGAAAGAGCAGGATCTGAGGTCTCCAGGGCATATTTCAGTAGGCCTCTGCACACAGATGCAAGAGGCAGATGGGACTTTAAGCCTTCTCCATCCCATTCCCAGATTAGATAATGCCTGGCCATTTGTGACCATGTGCCTAATCTGTCTAGAACTAACACAATCCTTCCCTATATCACAACATCGTTGTAAACATAAATATATTCATATTTAATAACGCAAAGATATATTATTATGCCAGTACTAAGTGTGATAACAGCAAGAATAGAGAAAAGGAAACCAAGTCTAGTCTTCAGCAGTGCACAGAGCTTTGATACAGCAGAGGCAGACTATATGGGATCACATCCAAGGCATTAGATACTACTGCAGGGGGAATCTGGAAGGATGACACCAATCCCCGCAGCCAGTGGAACTGCACAACAGTAGCTCATCTCCCCAGTTTGGCTCACATAGACTATTCTGAGGACAGCAAAGGGTCTCACGTGACATTAACATATGGCTCTTGACTTCTTTCCACATCTGAGGACTTACCCATTGGAGAGAAGATGAAGCACATCTGTAAGCACACGTCTGCTCAGGACACTACCAGAAGCCTTTTGTAGCATGTCCACTTGCTCCTAGAAACATTCAGAGTTAAGCAGAACTACTCCAGCAAGAGACCTTGCATTTGTTCCTGACTGAAGGATAAGGCTTCTCTGGCCAATGACTACAGTGTTCATCTTAGACCTGACCTCAGATTATTCCTAAGAGGTGCCCAAATCACCTTCAGTCAAGTTATCCTCTTTTAATCTGCCATGAAGCAAGAAAGATCTCAGTAGTTAGAACATCACTGGAGGCAATGAACCCTGGAGAATTGACAGGCTCTCAGTGGAACTGCACCGTATTTACTACTCTACAAATAACAGAATCTCATCCTACAGACATTGTCTGGGCTGTTCAATATGGCAGTTCCTTGATGAGTGCAAGGGCCTGCTCCTCCAGAAATCCTCCAGATTTCATATCTGTTGGTCAGGCAGAAGAGCTTCTTCTCTAGCCCCAAGGAGTTAATGCTGGTCAAAATCTATTTACGTCAGAAAAGACTCACCCCCAAGACACTAACCTAAACCATTTTAGACAGCATGAGGGAGAGAGAATTGGAAAAACAATCTTTCTTCCCATCAGTAAATTCATCCAGCTAAAAAGGAAAGATAAATTTAGCTCTTCAGATTAAATTATCTGCTTTAAATCAGGTGAATCATCTTTCCTCCAGGAAACAAACAATTAGTCTTTTGCCTGGGTAACTAAAATCTGGATAAAGACACTTTTGTTGACATTGCTGAGCAACCATGATACTTTGGAGAGGGCCAGGTTGTGCAAATGAAAGGGATTTTTTGACTGCTTCTGTGTTAAATCCTGCACATATACCTAGAAACCCCAATTTCCAGCACTGTTAGGAGTTGTAGTCCTGAGTATTCTGTGTCAATACCCAGTTGCCCTATTATTTGGGCACTCACTTCCATAAAAAATTGGATGACAACTGTAACACAACATTATATCAACAGGATCTAAGTTAAGGTGATAATCAGCGGGGGTCTGGCTGCACCGTAGAGGAAAATTCTGGAAAAATTAAATTTAATTCCTCTTAAGGGAAGTTTTAGGTTATCATTTTTAAGTCAGTCTATTTAGATACACATGTTTAGTTACATTTCTTATTTTAACCTCCATTCTTCCAGACTGCTTTGAAAGCGCCACCCCAATCACTGTTTTCAAAGCTTTCTTTGATGAGAACGTCTATGCTAAAACCCCCCAGAGTCACAAAATACTTGAGACATTTGGCGGAGCCTTGAAAAAGTAAGGCATCCAAAACCTAAGACAAGGCCAGTCTGCACTCGGTTTCAACCCTGTAGAGCGACAGGTATTAAACCTGAATCTTCACAGGGGCTGACAGTTCATCGAAGAATTATCCTATATCAGGCTATAGAGTTAAGTCTCTCCTACATTATACTATGAGCTAATAAGCAATGAGGACTTGGCAGACTTTCATCACATAACATTTGTTTCCTTTGTAGATTTGTTTTTACAGGGACCACACACATCTGAAAGTCTTTTAAATACCCATGCTGGTGAGCCAAAGACAGCTTGGCTGCTGGGGAGAGACGGGTGGAGGAATACCTCCACAGCAAAGCCTCACCGCTCATCCAGGCTTGCTAACCATCTGCAGAGGCTGTTCAGACCCTGAAGTCATGGGACTCGGCCCTTTTTACAGCATGAATCACCGAGAACCCCAGGGAGCAGCAGGGGCAAAGTTTTCCTTTTCAGTGTGGAGAGGGTGGAATCTGAAGCACCGAGGACAGACAAATCCAGTCTGGCGCAGGTAGGGCAGGTCAGGCTCCAAGGCCTCCTCCAGCAGTTGGCCAACATGGGGCTCCTCACTCCCACCCCACTGCAGCAACAGCCGTTTGGTGGAAGCAGTCACTCTTCCAGTGCCATCTGATACCAGCGGGCAGCTAGCCAGGGCGGAGAGGCAGTGCTGGGTCAGTGATCCTGTGATGAGCCCTGCAGCCCTGGCAGATCCCCCTAGACTTCAACAGATGACTTTGGCTTCCACTGACACATACCTGCTGAAATTTGGGAGAAAGAGGCCTTTACATCCTCTGCAGGGTCAACAGGAAGCATGCTGTGAGAGAAAAGGCTGCTTTCTCTGCTGATAAACCCTTTGTAAGTATCTGGAAACGATGCAGCTCATAATGAGTTATTCAGTGACTCACGGAAGACATCCCCATTGCATCCAGCTATGATATTTAAAATGCAGAGTTATCCAAAAAGAAAAATACCTTTTGCACTACATTTTACTCTGGCTCATTCTCTCGCTACCAAAAGCAACAAATCACCACAATTAATAAATCATTTCCAGCTGAAAATGAAGTCTCTGAGAGAAAAAAAATGAAGCACACCCCCAGCCCACTGCACACCCCAGGACATTTGTGTCAATCCCGTTAGACCCAGTGGGTTCCACAAGCTGAATTTTGGTGGCAGTTCAGTGGCAGCATTTTCCCTAAAAAGCTATTTGCAAAGCTTGCAGAAAGCTATGGAAACCTGCCACATGTCTTGCCTCTGCCCTGGGGGACTCGCAGAACCTCAGACATTGTCAGGATGTTTTTTGCTGACCCACACAGTGTGTGATATATAGCCTGCAAGTCCCAGCCAAGGTCATGACGAATGGAACCACAAGAAATCCAGATGTCTCCTTTCGCTGAGGTTATTCATTGGCTGTGTCACAGTAGTTAGGAGACTCATGACCAAAATTTTAAATGATTTCTTGATAATTCCAGATTATACAGAAATTCTAACTGAATACATGATTACCAACCTCTCACAAAATGCCTGCTGAAAGTAATATGGGTTTGAGGGACTTTTCTGATCAGAAACAGAAAGGAAAATCCCAAAGCCATCGCAGGAGCACGTCACATTCAAGTTGGAAATGCAAGTGTTTCCTATCAAACATAGATCCTTTCTGTCACTCAGAAGAAAGTGACAGATGTCAGGTGACACTGGAGAGGACACCCAAACAGCTTGTCTTATGGTCTTAGAAATCACAATAATAGACTATTTCAGAATTTACTTTCACAAGAGATTTCTACTCAGTGTACATCTCTACATCAATGCAATCCCAGACCAAGCCCAACAGAGACTGCAGGATTACCTTTATCAGTCTCCCTGGCAAATAGCTTCTCCTTATCAGCTAATGAATGGGTGCAACCTACAAGACTAAAATTTTAAATAAAAGCCAAAAAGATGTCTTCGGTGGCCTTAGGAGAGAGTAAGCGCTTTTGAGCTCTAACAGCATATTCAGCATTGCATTGGAGAGACACAAGAGGCAACAAGGGGGCGAATTACACCAACTTGGAGTTGAAGCCTATTGCAGGCTCATTTTTAACTCTGAGGTTAAGAGAAAACCACAATCATCCTGTTGGACAGGCAAGGACTATGGGCCTGCAAGTTTCATAAATTCCTTGAGATCAGAGTCAGAAGTAGGGTAGGTGCTGGAGTTCAAGTGCTCTTCGTTTTGATTCTCAACTCATTCCAGTGCCTACAGAAGTCCCTGTACGAGGCAGGTCCTAGTATACTAGATACTCCTAGATACTCCTTTTAGCAGTCCTAAGCTTTTGCCTCATACCCCTGCATCCCAACATCCTGCATATAAGTATTCCAGATTCAGGCCCGCATCATCTTTGGAGCAGGATCTGTATGCACACATACCCTCACTGGCAGAGGGCTCACACACTGGCACAGGCAGTGTTTGTGCCAACACATCTGGCCCCTGGCTGCAGACCACGGGTGCCGGAAGCTCCCAGGGAAGCTGTACAGCTCTGAGGAAACCTGTCTCTTGGCAGGAGATGAGTAATCAGTATTTAGAGTGTAGATTCTGGCTGAGCTCAGCTGTTGTGCAGAAGCACTGAGCTGTCAGCTACATAGTAGAAATAATTGTCATTCAGCTTGCTCACCTCCTTTTACCAGCAGTAACAGCTGAGAGATGGAAGCAGCTCACAAAGGTTTTTATGCTCTCCAGGAAAGGGAAGAACAGAGCAGGGAAAAAGTGCTTTTGTGCTGGTGTTTCATTGCTTTCAGTGAATTGTTCCAATCTTTTATCCTAAGAATTCAGAGAACAGTAATAATTTTTTTTTTCATGACTACAGACACTGTTTAGCTATTTTCCTATTGTTCTTTACGCACACACACCACTTATAGATAAGGAAGGTATTGACAGCCTTTGATTTGCATCTGTATTGAAATCCAAAGGTAAATTTAGCAATGAACAAAAAATGTCATTTAGTTAGATTAAAAGGACAGACTTATCTGCTCAAAATCTCATGCAAATTGGAATACACAAGCACATCGACAGACCATTGTTTAAATATCAGTGAAATGAGATTCCTTGTCTGCATAGCTGCAGTCTCTCACTGAAGACAGACATGAGCTCATTGCAGTCAGAGTGGAAAAACAGTAAAATATGCTATAACATACAAGATCAGGACTGACCTCTTCAGGCACATTTCTCCAGCGACCAGAGCCAACACTAAGCTAAGATGAACCGAACTTGATTCTGCTCTCCCAGAATTACTAGCAGGCTTTGAAAGGATGGGACTCTCACAGGCAGGAGCCAACACTATCCCATTTGCTTCTGGTACAAGCCACCCTTGAGCGTTGTGAGCATGGGAAGAAGGCAAGCTCCAAATATATGATGACATGTAAAGCTCTGCCCCTAGCAGCTACTGACAGTGTCCAAGGACTTCTGATACCTCTGGAAAACCTACACAGAATGACATTGTAAGTGTGTACGTTTTATATTTGCAACAAAAGCTTAAGCATAAAGATCTTAAGACTGTGCCTTCTAAAGAGCCATGTATTTAAACCACTGATCTGAACTTCTGAAGCTCTTCTGCTCTCTCCATGCATACAAGAGTTGTGCTGACAAGTGAGATGGCTTCAGGCAGAAGCTCTCTTCCTTGCCTACAACTTGACATCAAGAGAGAAGCACAGGGCAACAGGACTCTCTGCTCCATTAACGAACATGCTCAGACTCAATGGAGAAGCATCTTCTCCAGTAGGGAGACATTGGCTGCTGGCCCTTTTAGGA